CGCTTGCACGCCTCAAACATACACCTCTTGACCAAGGCAATCTGATCATTAATGTGCGCAGTCCGATCCAATTCACTCAGAAGGGCTTCAAGCTCAATGTGAAACCGCGGGTGTTTCCCAACCCAAGAAGGGACAGACGGATTCTCAGAAGGCTGGCACTTCCGAAACGTGGCCAAGACAGGAATATGGTCGGAGACATTCTGCGTAGTCGTGGCTTTGCCAATAACCGAGCACGCGATGGAGAGATCAGAGAGCACAGCAGCGGGAGAGGCGAGATAAAGACGGTCAAGACGGCTCACATGGCAAATTTCTCCACTAACAATTTCACGACGGGTAGGTTCAGGCTGGTGGACCTCAGTCCAACGTGGGAAGAACGAATGGAACGTATCATGCCTATAACGATCGCCAGGCCTCCACCCCGGTCCATCCCCACACTGACGGCCATCTTCCTCAAGAGCAAAATTGAAGTCCACACCAATCATAACCAGTGCTTCAGGAGTCCCCAGAGCATTCCGAATAAGCCTCAGAGGCCTCCGAAACGCCCACATAAGCTCCCCCGAGGTGGGCAGGTGCACGTTAAGGATCCAGAGAGCGCCGCGTCGACCGTTGCATTAAGAGACCAAGATACGGCCCTCATCAATATTGCAATGCCGAAGGTCCGTGAAGAGAGCGCAGAGAGCAGGAGGGATCAGCGTAAGAACACCACCAGCAATGTCCGAGGTATGTCCTGAGAATCCAATCGACCAACCTTGCAGATCCGACTGGAGTGCCGCTGCATCGCCAGCTGTGCCATGGGTCTCTTGCATGCACAGAATACTGGAACGCCGAGACAATCCCAGAAGCTGCTTGTACCGACGAGAGGCCCGAAGGGAGGAGTGGTGAATGGGAGCGAAGAGTCCCCTAGAGTTCCAAGTGAGCAGAGACAGAGAGCAGGAAGGGGGGGGGGAAAGGGAAGCGACGATTCAGCGTGCAGACCCCCACTGGGCGAAGAAGAGCTCGAGTCGGAGTCGGAACTGCTCGAGCTACTGGCAACAAAACTGGAGGAAAGATTAAACTCACCCCCCCCTTCTCGGGCGCGGAGGGCACCCGCCAAAAAGTTCATGGAGGTCCCTGGGGGGGGGGGACATTTGGTCCCCAGGGCGGCCTATCCTATCATATTCATCTTCAAAAGGGACGCGTGGGCTCAGTGGCGAACGCAGCCTCGAATTTCGCACGGGTCTCTGGGGCGTTCAGTCCAAGAGCGTTAAGACCTGCATCATCTGGGCGAAGGTGTATCACATCCGAGTTCTGGGGACAGCAGGTGAGGCGGAAGAGAGGAACAGGATCTTCACGCGAGCGAAGGCCGAAGACGTCCCCGCCGATTCCATTAGAATTGGCCTGCAACCCAACTTTTGGAAGCTCTTCCTGAACCGCACCCCGTACTTTCCCCATCTTGAAGAAGAGAAGCCGATGTTCAGGAGACAAGCTACGACGAACACGAAGGGGCCAAACATCCTGCTGATTCCGTGGGTTAACTAACCATGCTGTAACTCTCACTCAGCCTCCTGAAATTCATCTGGAAGTCCGAAGCCATGGCCGGGGTAGGGAAGTCCAGGGTAACTTTCTTCTGGAGATCATAAGCCCGAATCCGAATGAGACTGGCTGCCTGCACGGTCGCACACTTAGAGATAATGTCCTTCGCAACCCTCTCGAGAGTAATGGCCATCAACCGATCCTGGAACCCAAGGATTAGAAGACGGTGGGCATCCTCAAGCGACGATCCTCCACCTGCACTCCCTCCCGTAGTGGACCCGTCCCCAACCGAGCTGTCGACTGCACGGCGCTTACCTCCTTGACTGTTGACAAGAGGGGGCAAACGGGAGTTCACTTGAGCCATCTGTTCCATGGCGTTGAGACGGGTCTCTGACTTCTCTAGGCGGTCGGTGATCTCTTTCAGCATCTGACCTTGGACTCCAACAGTGGCGGCAAGACCCGAGACCTTATCATCAATAGATTCCTCGATCTTCGCGAGCTGGGCATCGAGCATGGCTTGGATCGCGGCCATATCGACCGCCATCGCGGCCGAGACTGGGGAGGGGCAGAGGGGATATGCACACGGTGGGAGGGTGGTGCGGAGAGCTGCTGGCAGCCTGTCTGCCGAGACCCTCGATCTGCTCCTTGGCTGCTCCCAAGCTGGACCCACGGAGCAATGGTTCCAACTTGAGCCATAATGGCTTGAGCCAAAATGGCTACGGATGATGATGATGATGATGATGATGATGATGATGATGATGATGATGATGATGATGATGATGATGATGATGATGATGATGATGATGGTGGTGATCGTGATGGTGATGATGCTGAGGATGTTGATGATGTTGATGATGATGGTGGTTGGATCGGATCGGATCGGATCGCCTGTGCGGGCATGCGCCCGGGCCCCTTGAGGGCGAGGCGGGTGAGGCCATGGCCTCGCATGAGAGGCAGCGCGCGTCGGAGGCTCGATCAGGATAATGCGTACATCACGAGATGTTGATGGTGGTGGTGATGCTGATGATAGTGATGGTAATGATGGTGTATATGATGCTGCTGATGATGATGACGATGATGATGATCACTATGGTGATGGTGATGGTGATGTTGATGATGGTGATGATGTTTTATGATGATGATGATGATGATTGTGATGATTATGCTGGTGATGATGATTGATGATGATGAGGATGCTGATGCTGCTTGTGACCGTGATGGTGATGATGCTGATGATGATGATGACGACATTACTAGTAATAAAACATATGATCATGATGTTGCTAATGATGATGACGACGCCGCCGACGACGACACGGATGATGGTGATGCTGCTGCTGATGATGATAATGGTGATGATGATGATGATGATGATGACGATGATGATGATGATGATGGTTATTACGAAGCTTATCATGATGCTGCTGCTGATGATGATGATGATGCTGATGCTTATGCTGATGGTGATATTGCTGGTGATGATGGTGATGCTGGATGGTGATGATGATCATGATCCTGATGATGATGACGATGATGATGACGACGAGGACGAGGAAAAGGAGTGGACCAGTCAGATTGTGGGATGAGTAGGAGAAGGAGACGGGAGAGGAAGGATGAGCAAGACGAGGAACTGGAAAGGATAAGCAACGATAATGTGGAGCAAGCTGGGTAAGGAGGGGGCCCTTCGAGAGAGGCGGCGACGAAGGCTCTCTTGCCCAGAGGCTGAGACGGCGGCGAGCAGGGGGGGAAGTGAGAAAGAGAAGACCGTCTCAGAAGGCCGGGGGACTTCCGAGCCTTCTGAAGGCCCGCCCCTTCTCCCCCTTTTCACTTCCACCCGGGGCTCGCCGCCGATCTTCAGTGGATGGAAGAATCCATGGAAGTCGAACCTCGGCCATGGAAGCTTCTCTAGTCTACGACAAGTTCATGTCGTGACGACCTCGGCGTTGGTTTCTGACACCGCGTGGATCGTGAGCCGTTCCCGATCCTGGCTGTCCGATCTTGCAAGTGGTTACACAGCGGCCGATTCTGGGCCACTGGCGGCGTTCAACCTTGAACTGAAGGGGCCCCAGGACACACAAATAAATACACACATAAAACTATTCCACATATTTTCCTGTATTTCCTGGGTCTTTGTCTTCCCCCCCACTTCCCATATTTTCCAATATTTTCCTGGGAATCGACGATGAATTGTGTCTGTGTTTTTTTCCCTCCTGACTTTGAATGTCCGCACGACACGAACGCACCCTAAGCCTACGCTGCCCCTCCAGCTCGTGCAGGCACCACTGCCCGAAAGCTGTAGGCACGCGGCGATCCAGCCACGGGGCTGGCTTGCGTTGACGGGCCAGCCAAAACACAACTACTACCCTCGTCAACATTAACCTCAACAGTTGCTGGCACGTCATTTCGATTTCGGCGCGCCCCTCAATGTCGACACGCCGCCCCTTCAATGTCGGGGCGAGGGCAAAGATAATCTGACCGAAGTTGGCTCGAAAATTTGACGTCGACCGACATTGGTGGGGCGGCGCATGCAAGTACCCCGCACTCATCTATACTCGGCCCCAGATCTTCCGACAGGCAGTTCAACCACGTCAGACATTTTTGAGGTTAACTTTGACGAGGGTTGTAGGAATACAGAGACACACGTGCGGCAGAGTCGTGTAGCTGACGGCAGGAGCACGTGTCACCTTGGGGTCACAGCTCACATCGCGAGCCTGACACTGAGCAGGTCCTTGGGGCGACCTGATGAAGTGCGAACGCGAAGCGTTCAGGCGCGAGGAATAGCCCAGATAAATGATTTGGACGCCTCTGGTAAAGTTTCTTACCCATACTGGGATGCTTCCCAGCACGGATGGCAGAAATACGAGAGCGCTGCTGATACCGAGCAGCGCGCGCGAAAGCCATAACGCAGCGCCGTGGGGCAAGCAATGCAAAGCGACACACGCACGCGAAACAACTATGGGTAGAGGGACAAAGAACGGCCTGTGCATAACCTTTCGGAGCTCCGCGCGGACTTCTTGGATCTGCGCTGGAGCGCGCCAGGGGCGGCGCGGGAGGTGCCGCCAGGGGGGGCCCAGCGCCGATGCAAGAAGCCCTTGCGGAGCTCCAAGACGGCTCAAGATGTATCCCAAGGTGTCTCCATCATGGCTTCCTCTGTGTGCTGCCCACTTCCCTGATCGAGGCAACTCCTCTGGGCATCGTTTCGGGATGGGCTGATGGCGATTTTTTTGTTTTGTCGCAACCGCAGGCGAGAGCGCCAGCGGCGAGTCAGGGCCGAGCGGGCCGCGCAAGAGCCGAATTACCTAATGCCGACGGACTGGCGACCTCAGGCAGCGCCTCGGCGGGCGGGCCGGCGAGAGGGGGGGTGCAAGCTGCAGCTGCCAGGGATCTGGCTGGTGGGGATTCTCGAAGCGTCAACAATTTGTGCCCATGCAGCTCTGCTCCTCGAGTGGGTGCCCCCCCCCGCGCGCGCGCGCCCGCCCCGGCCGTGCCTGCGGGGCCCTCCTCCAAGATCTGGAAGCGCCTCTCGAACGACGACAGCTCCGCCTCGAACTCCTCGTCGCTGTCCTCGGGCGGCACGTCCTCCGCCGGCTGGCCCCGAGGGGGGGGGATCGTCGGGCACCGCGACGATGTCCTCCTCCTCCTCCTCCCTCGTCCACCTCCTCCTCCTCCTCCTCCTCCTCCTCCTCCTCTCCTCCTCCACTCTTCCTCCTCCTTCTCCTCCTCCTCCTTGTCCTCCTCCTCCTTCTCCTCCTCCCTATCTCCTCTTCGCCTCCCCTCGAAATCCTCCTCCTTCATCCCTTTCTCATCCTCCCTCCTCCTCCTCCTCATCCTCCTCCTCATCATCCGCCTCCTCCTCCTTATCCCTCTCCTTCGCACCCCCTGTTCATCCTACTTCTCCTCCATCATCCCGCGCGGCCGAGACACGATCTGTGAGCGAGGCCTCTGCTCTCCTGGCCCGCACCGCCACCGCGGGGCCGAGCGCCCCGAGCGCGGGTCGGGGAGCTCGGCCGCGCCGCGCCCGCGTCGAGCCTGGTCGACCTCGAGGCCGGCTCGGTCGCCTTCCGCTCGGGCGGGCGGGCGGACGTGCGAGACGCTTCCGCGGGGCGGGCCGAGTGGCGGCGGGCGCGCGGCGGTCGTGGCCGTGGCCGCTCAGCTGGTGCGCTCCTGGGCTGTTCCTTCAAGATCTCGTCGGAAGTGTGGTCACGTTTGAGAGCGGGTGTGCGACACGAAGTCGAACCCCCAGTCCTCTGCCTGCTCTCCTTCCACTCGGGTGCTGGGAGAAGCGTCCCTGCCGGGCACGCGCCCCTCTCGTGGCGACCATGGGGCCTGCGGCTGGCACGCCTGGCCCCGGCTGCCTGGTGGGCACCGGACCTGCAGCGATGTGAAGCAGGTCTGGTGCCAGGGCCGCGGATCGGGAGGAGAAAGAGAGAGAGAGAGAGAGACTCTCGGGGTTCTGAGTGCCTCCAAGGGTCTGGAAGGCTTGGGGAAATTGCGCGGGGGCCTGGCGGGCTGCGGGGGGGTTCGGGGGGCTCGGCGGGGGACAAGGAGCGGCCCCATGGAGCAGGTGATCCGGGAGAAGCCCTCGGGGGCGGCCGATCGGGAGAGCAGCTCGCGCACCGTGGCGGTTGCGGCGGGCATGGGCTCGGGCTCTAGCAAGGAGAAGCCCGCGAAGCTCGAGAGTTACACAATTTGCTGATGGCTCCCGATTTCCTCCTGTCCGCGTTCAATTCGCTCCGTGCTCGAGGGTCGGCGGTGGACAAGGAGGAGAGGGAGGAGGGAGGAGGAAGAGGGGGAAGGGAGGGGGAGGGGGGGGGGGGCGGGGATAGAGGAAGGGGGGGAGGGGAAGGGGAAAGGAGAGGAGGGAGGAGGAAGACGAAGGGGGGACGACGAGGAGAGGAGACGGTGGGAGGAGTCGAAGCGAACCGCGGCCGTCGGGTCTCAGCGGGCTGTCCGGGGGGCGGGGGAGGCGCCGAGAGGGCGGAAGGCGCCTCGGTCTTCGGCGGCCTGTACTGGGCCTTCCGGAGCGCCTGGCAGTGCGGGGCACGCGCGCCAGGAGGACAGGATGGAGTTGGAGGCTTGGGGCCTGGAAAAGGGCTCCAACACCAACACAGGGGGTTGCCTCCACTGGGGGAAGATGATCCTGGATTTCGCCGAGATTGGGAGCATCTTCCCTCGGTGGAGGCACACCAGCGATATTGGTGTCAACCTCTAGGCCTCCGAAGGATTGGGAGAGGCGGGGTCGGGCCCGAGGCAGCGTGGGGGTGTCAGCACGTGGACGCTGCAGCTCTGGGCATGGGGCTCCGAGGGAAGAGAGGGGTACTCTCAGCGGAGGGGCTTCTCGGTGTAGCATTATCTGCTCCTCGAACCTCGATGGCTGTGGGAGCTTCTCTTCACCCCACCGTAAGGAGGTCCCCGAGATGGAGTGGAACAAGCTAATGTACGGTCACGTACATTTGCATGCATACGATATGCTGGACATACGTGTATACATACATTCATACATACATGCATACAACCACACATACATGTATACGCACAAACATACACGAACACATGCATGCATACACACATATTTAGGTATACACATTCATGCACCCATACATACATAACTGCCAACTTACCTGCCGATCTACATACGCACGTAAAAACGTGCACACACATACATACTTACATACATGTGTACATGCAATTATGCATCCATTGTATACACACATACATACACACAAACAACCGTGCATACATACGCGCACACCTACACACAAACATAAACACGTACGTGCACACATGCACACATACACACATACATACATACACACATACATACATACGTACGTACACGTATATATTCATACATACACACATGTGCATACATACATGCATGCACATCTACCAACATACCTACATCCATCCATACCTACATACATACATGCGTACATATGTACACACATACAAACACACGTACATACATTAATACATTCATGCATGCATGCATGCATACATATATATATATATATATATATATATATACACGCATGTATATAAATAAAAAGGGACAAGTCGGGAGACTGTGAGAGAGAGAAAGAGAGAGAAAGAGAGAGAGAGAGAGAGAGAAAAAAAGACAATGATAATATGAGAGAGAGAAGGGAGAACGAGAGAGAGAGAGAGACAGAGATATAACATCATATTTTGATAACGATGTAGGATGGGAAGGCGGGGCGGGATTGGAATGACTACTCCAGAGACGCGACGTACACGGACAACGTGTGCGCACACATGTCACGAAGGGATCGGGTTACAAAGAGACCCGGGGGGGCAGCACGGAGACACACACACACACACACACACATATATATTCCTCTTCCGATATTTATGCAAGCCAGGGGGGTGGGACCCCCCCCCCCGTCTTCCACTTTAAAACTGGACCCCCCAAATCCGGGGTTTCCGGGTCCCCCGGACACCGTTGCCGAAGGTCCCCGGGCTCGTCCTGGACCTCCCAGAGCGCTTAGCCGCGTCTTGCCAGCAGACCCCTCACGATCAGAACGGTGATCAGAGAGACCGGAAAAAGACCCAAGACAGCACAAAACAGAAGGCCTCCAGATGACCTCAACGTATCCCAAAACAGCCCAGGAGGCCCTGTACAAAACTCCAAGAACGCAAAGATCGCCTCATTCCCTTCGGGAAAAGTGCATTTCCAGCAGATTCGCTGGTCGGGTCTTAACGACGTCCAAACTAGCCAAAAGGCCTCAGGCATCGCCCCAAGACGGCCCAAGAGACCCCCAAGAGAGCTTCTGGACGGCCTGGATGGCCCTAAGACTGTCCAAAGAAATCCCAAATGGACCAAAAAGACCCAACAGGCCCTCACAAGGCCTCCAAGATAAACCCAAGAAGGCCATGGCAGGACCCCGAGAAGGCCATGGGAGGAAGGCCCACGTTGCCCCCGTAAGGTCCCTAGAAGGCCAAAACTCCCCAACGCGGCCCAAAATGGCCCCAAGACAGCTCGAGAGCCGAGCTGGCCCACCAGGGCTGCAACAAGGCCCACACAGCGTGGTCCACCAAACTGGCCCGAACCCCGGGTTCGCAGCTACATTTCCCAGAAATCTGTTGCGAACCAAAGAGTCGGCGCATTCCCCAATAATTACTTATTTTCGCGTGCCCCAGTGCGACCCGCTGCAACATGACATCCTCGGCTTGGCATTGCTTTGTGTTTTGCGGCATTGCTTGGCATTGCTTGGCATTGCGTCGGCTTGCTTGGCATTCATTCGCATGGCTTGCCATTCCTTCACATGGCGCACCGGGACACCTGCGCCACGAGCTGGCCATTGTGCGGGCCTACGAAGGCCTTTTGTCGTCGTTCACTGCCAGACATTTCTGCAAGCGTGTACGTACACATTAACCCCCCCGACGGCGCCATTTCTTTCCCTCCTCCTGCTCCTCCTCGGGGTCCTCCTCCTCCTCCTCCGCCTCCTCCTCCTCTTTCTGCCGCTCCACCACTCGTCCTCCCCTACATCCGCTTCCCTGTCCTCGCTCCCCAAGATTCCCTCCCTTCTATCCTTCGCCCTCCACCCGGCGCCTTTCGGGAGCCCCAGGAGGCCCGGGAAGGGCCAGGGACCTCCCGAACTTTCGAAGACTTCCAAAAACCACCGCAGGGAAGGGGCCCAATTTCCAAGGCCACTTGGGACGGCGCGAACAACCAACAGATGCAAAGCCTCAAGAACCATGGTGCATGGCACGAAGTGCCATTGCAGTCTTGTATATATGAACACATACATACATAGGGAAAGCAGACAAGGAGATGAGGAGGCGGTAGAAGAGGAGAGGGGGATAAATGGGCGCAGGATGGGAAGAGAAACGCACACACAGAGGAAAAGAGACGCAAGGAAAAAGCTCTCGCACACTTACCCCTGTCGCTCACGCACCCCTATTACGCTCGCTTTCCTTCTAAACGTTCTGTTTGCGTATTATGCCATCCACCTCCATCTCGTCTTCCGCTTCCTCATCACCCCTCCTGATCCACCTCTTCCTGCTCTCCATCCATCCTCATCCTACCCCTCTTCCCTTTCATTCCCGTACCCCCTCTATTCTTCACCTCCTGCCCCCCCTTCATCCTTCCTCTTCCCCAGCCCTTATCCTCCCCCCTCCGCCTTCCCCACCCTTCTTGAACTTTCCTCCTCCGCCCTCCTACTCCTTCTCCTCCTCCTCCTCCTGTCCATCCATCCGTCCTCTCCCTCCCCCTCCTCCTACTCCTCCTCCTCCTCCTTCTCCTCATATCTCGTCCTCCTGCTCCTCAACCTTCTACTCATCGTCATCGTTATCATCACTGCTACCACTATCACCATCACCACTACAACCATCACCACGACCATCACCATCACCATCATCACCCATAACAGAAAGAGGGCGCGCCGCTGGATGCTCCGAAGGGGGGGGAGGGGTCCGGCCCCCCCCCTCCCCCCTTTCCCTGGTCCGTCGTCCTGGGACCCCCCTCCTTTCCTGATCTGTCGTCCCGGACCCCCCCCCTTTTCAAAAGGGGGTGGGGTTGAACCCCTTCCCCCCCCCCTTTGGACTCGAAAATCGGACACCCCCCCTCCCCGCTTTGGCCACGCCGCCCCCCTAGCTCCAGATAGCTCCGGAACCCTACCCCCTAACCCTCCATATACTATCCCTAACATCCTACTCCGAACCCTACCGCCCTGACCCGATCCCTACCACCCCAAGCGTAACACCCTGACCCGAACACCAATACCCTAACACTCGAATCCCAACCCTAACACCCTAACCCCAACACCCTGGCCCTAACACCCTGACCCAACCCCCCTATCCCAACACCCTAATCACAACACCATAAGCCTAACACGCTAGCCCTAACCCCCTAACCCAAACCGCCCTAACCCTAACACCCTTAGCCTAACGCCATAACACCTGGAATCTAACTCTAAGCTCTAACCCCTAAGCTAAGCCCTAAACCCATAAACCCTGAGCCCTAGGTCCCAAGCTCTAAGGCGGAAACCCAAAGCCCTAAGCTCTAAGGTTTGAGCCCTAGTCTCGGCTGGGTGCGCGTACTCCCCAGATCCGCCGTCGACGGTTGCGCAGTTCGCAGCCCCCAGGGAGCTGCGAGGTCCCGGCTCGGTGCGCGTACTTCACTACTCCGCCGTGCCTTCCAGGAGCCCACGAAAATGGCGGCGGTTGCGCAGATCGCAATCCCCCAGGAAGCTGCCAGGTCCCAGCTGGGTGCGCGTACTCCCCTAGTCCGCCGTGCATCCTAAGAGCCCACGAAAGTGGCAGCATTTGCGCAGTTTGCAGTCTCCCAAGGAGCTGCGGGGTCTCGGATGCGCGCGCGTATTCCCATACTCCGCAGTGCCTCCCAGGATCCCACGAAAGTAGCAGCAATTGTCAGTTGAAGTCCCCCAGGGAGCTGCGAGGTCTCGTCTGGGTGTGCGCACTCCCCTACTCAGCCGTGCCTCCCTCGAGCCCACAAAAGTGGCGACAGTTGCGCAGTTCGCAGCACCCATGGACCAGCGCTGGAGGAGGCAGGAAGAGAGAGGATAAAAAGAAGGAATGGCTACCACAATGCTCTATTCAAAACGAGAACCCAACACGGAAGGTTGGGGAAAAATGCGGTGCGGTGCATACTGGCTGCTTCTACCATCGCATTATCAAGCCTTCAACCCTCACGATCTTACGTAACTAGTGCGTTTTTCTGCATACCCCCGATCTAAATCCAGCTCCGCAAGGCGATCCCCGATATCACATATTTTCAATTCGCAACCGTCCAGGGATGGCGAGATCGAATTTGAATCTGCGCACGGCATCACTCCGCTGGACCCCCCAGCAGCTTTCGAACGTGGCGACAGTTTCGCAAGTTGCAGCCCCCCAGGGATGGCGAGGTCGAATCTAGGTCTGCGCAAGGCATCACTCCGCTGGACCCCGCAGCAACCCTCGAAAGTGTCGACGGTTGCGCAGTTCGCAGCTCCCCAAGGATGGCGAGGTCTAATCTAGGTCTGCGTAAAGCGTCACTCCGCTGGACCCT